TGGAACCGACTTGAAGACACCTAACAATAACAACAACAACATTTATACTCAAGGGATTTGAGTACAGGTTATATATCTGTTAAAGCTTTTGTGTGTCAAAATTGTGAGAAAAAGAAAGAAATGATAGTAATAACATTTGAGAAGAACGTTAAGGTTATTGCTTTTATCTATCAGGATTTTAAATTAAAAAAAAAACTTAACTGTAAGTTCTGTGGATCAAGATTAACAAATCTGTAGCTGTGTGCCATCCATAACCCAGTATTAGAGCCCAGTTCTTCTCAGAGTTACAAGAACTTGGATATTAATCAAGAGTCTGGTAGTTGTCCAGTCTCTCACTCACTTTACCTAAACTGTGTTGTTGTTAGTTGTGATTGAGTCATTTCCTACTCATGGCAACCCCACATGTAGAAGTATAAAAATTAAAATTTAGAGCGTATTCCTCATTATTTATCTACATTGCTAGAAATGTGATCATTGAAAAGCCGAGACTGACTTACTGTAGCACACCAGCAGGTGTCAGCACAGCCTGTGTTTTTTTGCCAGACTTTTTTGACCTGTATTAGTAAGTTTTTTTTTTCCCGAGGACATTCTAATGAACTGCAGTTTTCTAAAGGTCACTGTGCTTATTTTTAAATAAAAACACAGTGTAGTTATTCATTAATAAAGACAGAGTCATACACTATTGGCAGCAGAGACGTTCAGTGCTTAACTGTATGTATAGCTGTAGCTCAGAAGAACTAGCTATTTTGTCATGGAAAGATTCAGATGGTATCGACTGAGCCAAGTATGCATCCGGAAGTAGTGATGATGAGCCCTGTGAGTTAGCCAGATATGGTATTGATACTGTCCCAGCAGATGAAACTACGTAAGGGTCTAACTGTGTTTCTTTTCTGGACAAGTCTTTCATTGTTAGAGGAAGAGCTGTTATTAAGCCTCTTGTTTATTCCCCCTGCCAGGGTTACCTAGTTCTGCCTAGGATACTTTGGATGTATGTTCCTAAGTGAAGGTGTATATTATCCTTAGTAAGGAGAAGTATCAATACTAGGAAAAGAATTACTCAGATCCAAGAGTAACATTTGAAAAGGGACTTTTCATGAAGGACCTCATTGCATACACTGGTATCAAAACATGCGGAAAACTAGAATTCAGTTTTCAGCATTTGAAACCTAAATATAAGTGGCTTTATAGTGAGTGGGTACAGAATAAATGTTTTATGGACTTTAGAACAGTATTCATATTCATTGATATTTGGTCATTAAAGAAGGGTAAGGAGATGTGTATGTAAGCAGTATTGTGAAGTATTTAAATACATCAATACACCAATATGAAATTAATAATTTTATTGCTTACAGTAAACTAGTTGATTTTCCATTGCTTTTATGATTTTTTCAAAATTTATTTTTTAATATGAAGTGTAAGCTCTCAATGATCTGTTCCTTGTTACTCTCTCCAAAATCATACACCTTCCTACCATATGGTCCATACTTGCCAAACAAATAGCATTGCTCTTATTGACTGTTTACAACCCAATTAGATATAATATGACTGCTTAATCAATTATATAACAGTTTAAACTGTGCATACCACATTTTAAAATTTAATTTTTATTTCTTTCAATTAAAGAAAATCATGCTCATTGTTAAAAATTCAAATGATATAAAAGTAGATGGAGAACAGGAATCCTAATCTTTTTCTAATGTTAATGCTGTTATGAAATTTGTGTATGAAAAATTACTTTGTTATTACAAATCTAAAACTTTCTAATCTCTGACACTTTTGTTTTTCTTTAATTGTTTTTGAAACAGGATTTTTGAAAACATAAGGTTTCTTCAGGAGTACTCTTAATGGAATTACAGCAGAGTAGATTGTATTTGCAATTTCCCAAACATACCTTGTTCTCTCTTTTAATTTGTTGCTTCCTATGCCTAGAAAGCTAACCAGAACTAACCCCCTCCCCAGTCAGTTAACAAATTTATATGTGTCTTTCAGGACTGAAACTAATTTCTTTTAAAAAGCCGTTCCTGATTTTTAGTTTACCCTACAATATGTTTGAATGTAGAATTAAAAATAAATTACTCATGTCTTTATGCATGTGTAAATTCGAACCCAGTGTGTGTGTGTGTGTGAGAGAGAGAGAGAGAGAGAGATGCAGTCTGGCTTTTTCTCCTACCCCAGTGCCTCCAGCAGAGAAAAGCCTGCTCTCAACCTGTGTGTGGAATTTTTCTAGGATTCTTTTCATGGAAGGTCCAGTCCTTCGAGGGCTCTGACTCTGTGTAAGGCACTCCCTTACACAGATTTAGCTCCTTTCCTCTCTTCCCCGAGTGGCTAGTGCCCTGTCTCTGCCACATCATATCCCTACTCTGGCCTCAGAACCTTTGACCAGGTCTGACACTCCTTGACCGCATGTGCTTCAGCTCACTCTGTTCAGTTTGAGCTTAGGTCTTGGTTTCTGGCGCCTGGGGATTTTCCTTCCTTTCTCTTAAGGAGTACTAACTGGGACTTTGGGGAGGGTGTTCTATTTTAACCAACATTTGTATTTATAACAGGAAAGGGTCCACATCAGTGCAATCTGTCATGTTACTAAAAATTCTTCCATATATCACAAGAAGTTGATTGTCATATAACAAAGACCTAAAAATTCCTCTGGATAACATCAAGGTTGTGTGAAAAAATCTGTGTTAAGAAAACCCTGTGTAAAGGGAAAACAGATTATTACTGGGGCATATCAGAAGAACTTATTTGTAAACATTCAGTAATGTACCAAGAAGTAAAAAATCAAAGTGAGGTAGCTTTGGCTTGTGAGTGTAGTAGTAATCAAAGGCAAGTCTTCACACGTGTACACAGAATGGAAAGGCCTTTTGACAAGGTGCATAGATCACACTTGAGCAATTGTGCATAGCATCATCTTTGTGGATGATATACACTGTAGTACCTCTGTGGTCATTGTAGTTACTTGCATGGCCCCTGGTCTATGTGAATAGCACAAAGAAAGACTGACTTACTTTTACCCACTCTAGGTGTGGATAGAAAACCCTGCCAGAGAAGTGCTTTCTCATAGCCTTCATTAGTGAGAGGGTTAAAAGAGTACATGAGCATTTTCTACAAGATGGAAATGTAAGGGCAAATGCATTGCCTTTCCACCCAGTAAGGATTAATTTGAAAACTTTCAAAATTGTGTATATGGTCTTCACAGTTGTCACGGATTGAATTGTGTCCACCAAAAATATGTGTATCAATTTTGGCTAGGCCATGATTCCCAGTATTGTGTGATTGTCCACCATTTTGTCATCTGATGTGATTTTCCTATGTGTTGTAAATCCTACCTCTATGATGTTAATGAGGTGGGCTAGGTGGCAGTTATGTAATGAGGCAGGACTCAGTCTACAAGATTGGATTGTGTCTTGAGCAAATCTCTTTTGAGATGTAAAAGAAAGAAGCAAGCAGAGAGATGGAGGACCTCATACCACCAAGAAGGCAGCACCAGGAGCAAAGCGCGTCCTTTCGACCTGGGGTTCCTGCATGGAGAAGCTCCTAGTCCAGGAGAAGATTGATGAGAAGGACCTTCCCCCAGAGCCGACAGAGAGAGAAAGCCTTCTCCTGGAGCTGATGCCCTGAATTTGGACTTCTAGCCTACTAGACTGTGAGAAAATAAATTTCTCTTTGTTAAAGCCATCCACTTGGGGTATTTCTGTTATAGCAGTGCTAGATAGCTAAGACAATAGTGCAAAGCAAATAGGCATGAATTGGCCTCAGCAGAAATTACTCTGATTTCTAAACATCGAAGGTAATTCCCAAAAGGGGGAGAAAAAAGGTAATGCATGAGGTTGTCTATAAGCTCAGGTTTTGAATGTCAGGAAGTCCAGTTTATTGTCTGTTCGTAAGAAATATATGTTTAATTTCATTTTAACAGGTTTTTCTTTTTTCCCCTTATTTAATCTTACCAACTTCCATTTTTCCCAGCCTTTGCCATTGTCTCTGGTGGTGAAAGTTTGCTGTATATATTAATTTTAGCTTATTAGTTATTGAATGAGTATGTGTGTAGGATAAAATTTTAAAGCATTTTATTCTTTGAAAGAATTTAGTGATTTAATGTAATCTATAATTTTGCCTTTATTTTTAAAAATCTTTGGATATGTATTAATAGGTTCATGGTATATAATATGAGATTTCTGTGCCCAAATACTCAAACCCTTGTATCTTTAGTAATAATGTTCTTTCCCTCATATCTTGTAGTAGATCTTTGTCATATGTCAATTTAACAGTGTAATTTCAGCACTCCCAAAGGATCATAAAGGTCTATGATTATGTTGTGATTAATAATTTCCTGAAATAAGTTCTTGATCTTGAGAACCATTGGTGTACCAGCTTAGCTTCCCACTTAGCATCTAAATCTGGACATGGGTTCGTGGTTCTCTATATTATTACTCATGTGATTGAGAAGCAACTGTTTCTTTGTGAAAAAGAAAAGCCAGTTCCAAGTGCTGTGTTAAAGTGCAGGCAGTTCTTCACCAGAGAGTAGAAGTTTTATGGAAGAAATTTTATGTCATAATGATATAAAATTGGGCGCCTTTATGATGGTCTTTTGCAGATATTAATGATGCAATATGCTACACTTAAGGGCTGGCTTCTACCTCATGGAAGGGTCAACCTTAGAGGATATATAATACTGACTTTAGTTTTCACCATGGAATTGACTGGCTTGGTTTTCTGGACTACATATAAGAGTAAAGAACATTTTTGTTTGTTCCGTGACCATGGAATATAAGGTTTCCGGTTTCTCTCAGGGATATTGATTTTAAGCCTTCAGATTTATAAATTTAAATTGTAGTGTGGTCTATACTATAGATCTGGGTCTGTACTCAGAATGGCTGATTATTGCATTCAAATTATTTTCTTTAAATTCACACTCCACATAGAATAGCACTTTGTGTTTATGTTAATCAGAAATGTTTATGCTTTTTACAAAAATAAAATTTAATTCTGAGTTTTTTAATTTTCAGCCAGAAAATCTTGCTCAGAAGCTTCCAAACCTTGTGGAACTGTGAGTCTATTTTTTAAAAAAATTTTAAAAAGCAAGAGTCAAAATAATCTTATGTTACTTGAAATAATAGGATATGCCATTCTACTGTATTAATTTATTATTTTTTGGTATCATGATCATGGTGTTTATGTAGGTAGACCTTTGGTTCTGCTAAACCTAATAGTATTTAAAAGTGTTTTACCATTTAAATTTGTGTTTTAAATATCTCACCTTGATGTAGTGTTGGTGACGAAAGATAACATTTTCTCTGGGCACAGTGTCTTTGTCACAGAATCCTTCAAGATAATTCACGTAATTGAGAAAATTTATTATTGTTGTTATTATTGCTACTACTACTACTACTAATACACGTGATACTTCATACAAACAGTAAGACAATATAAAAGATTTAAAGTATAAAATAAAATCTCTTGCACATTCTTCTTCATTTGTTTTAGTTCTCTTGATGATTACCTTTAATGCTAAATAATATGTTTACACTTTTTTTGAATACATCAACTTAAAATATCTGTTGGTTGATTTACCATTTACAAAGATAAAATATTTAGGTATCTTGTATTTCCCTTTTTTCTTAGCTGCTTCCTTCTTCTGTAGAAAGAAGAGTTTGCATTTCTGTTTCTTGTTCTCTGTTATTTGGCATGATTTTCAAGAGGTAAAGGGGAAGCTAACTTTGCACCTCCACATTCAAGCTGAAAGTCTCTGTCATTCTTTTTCCCCCCTAACCTTTTATTTTGAAAAATTTCAAACCAACCGAAAAGTTGAAAGTATAATAGAATGAACTCCCATGTACCCTTCACCTAAATTTACCAGTTGTTAGCATTTTTGTCAAATTTGCTTTCTCTCTTTTCATCTCCCACCCTCTCTCTCATATACACATACTTTTTTTCCCCTGAATCATTTGAAAATAAATTGCAGGCATTATGATACTTTACGCTTAAATACTTCAGGATGTAGCTCCTTTGAATAAGGACATTTTTGCACATAATTACAGTATCATTATCATACCCGAGGAAATTAATACTAGTTCCATAATATCATCTAATAGCAGTTCATATTTAAATTCTCAGTTTTCCAAAGTAATCTTTTTGTAAATGTTTGGATTTCTTTGTTTCCTTTTTTTTAAATTTAGTTTTATTGTGATGAAAATATACATACCAACACATATGCAATCTCAGCAATTTCTACATGTACAATTCAGTAACATTGATTACATTCTTCAAGTTGTACAACTATTCTCACTATACTTTTCCTAATCAGTCTTCCACACTAACATAGCTTCAGTGCTTCCTAAAAACTCCCCCTTTCTCCCTCCCTACCATCTCTGGTAACCACTAATAATCTTTGGTTTCTATGTATTTGCTTATTTCATATAAGTGAGATCATACAATATTTGTCTTTTTGCAACCGATTTATTTTGCTCGGTATGATGTTTTCAAGGTTCATCCATGTTGTGGCATGCATCAGGACTTCATTTTTCTTTATGGCTGAGTAATATTCCATTGTGTGCATGTACCATATTTTGTTAATCCATTCATCTGTTGATGGACATTTTGGTTGTTTCCACCTTTTGGCTAACTTAAAAAGTGCTGCAGTGAACATTGGTGTACAAGTTTCTGTTTGCATTCCTGCCTTCAATTCTTCTGCATATATACCTGGGATTGGGATTGGTGGGTATGATGGTTAAGATTGTGTGTCAGCTTGGCTGGGCCGTGATTCCCAGTGTTTTGGCATTCGTATAATATTGTGATCTCTTCCCTGTTGAGATTTGATATTTGTTCACTTTGCTTGGACAGAGAAATGACCAGATGTGCATTGGTATACTGATTCATGGGCTGTGGTCAGTGGTTTGGCTGGATGGTCAGGGACTTGGAGGGAACATGATTGGAAAATTGGAGACAAGGATTTATGGGGAAGAGGTATGTGGATAGACCTCTCTGAATGGGCCAAAGAAGTGAAGATATTTGTGTCTTATGTGAATGCTCACCAAAGGGTGACCTCAGCAGAGGATGATTTTAACAATCAAGTGGATCGGATGACGTGTTCTGTGGGAACCACTCATCCTGTTTCCCCAGCTGCTCTTGTCATTGCTCAATGGGCTCATGAACAAACTGGCCATGGCAGCAGGGATGGAGGTTATGCCTGGGCCCCGCAACATGGACTTCTGCTCACCAGGGTTGACTTGGCTACAGCCACTGCTGAGCGCCTGATCTGCCAGCAGCAGAGACCAACAGTGAGTCCCTGATATGGCACCATCCCTTGAGGGGATCAGCCAGCAACCTGGTGGCAATTTGATTACATTGGACCACTTCAGTCATGGAAAGGACAGCGTTTTGTCCTTATTGGAATAGGCACTTACTCTGGATATGGATTTGCCTTCCTGCATGTAATGCTTCTGCCAAAAGTACTATCCATGGACTTATAGAATGCCTTAGCCACCGTCATGGTATCCCACACAGCATTGCTTCGGATCAAGGGACTCACTTCACAGCAAATGAAGTGCAGCAGTGGGCCCATGCTCATGGAATTCACTGGTCTTACCATGTTTCCCATCACCCTGAAGCAGCTGGCTTGATAGAACAATGGAATGGCCTTCTAAAGACACAATTATGGCACCAGCTAGGTGGCAATATCTTGCAAGGTTGTGGCAGTGTTCTCCAGGAGGCTGTATATGCTGTAAACCAGTGTCCAGTATATGGTGCTGTTTCTCCCATAGCCAAGATTCATGGGTCCAGGAATCAAGGGGTGGAAATAAGAGTGGCACCACTCTCTATTACCCCTAGTGACCCACTCACAAGATTTTTGCTTCCTGTCCCCACAGCCTTATGCTTTGCAGGTCTAGAGGTCTTTATTCCAAAGGGAGAAATACTTCCACCTGGAGACACATCACTGATTCCATTGAACTGGAAGCTAAGAATGCCACTGGGCCACTTTGGGCTCCTTATGCCTCTGGATCAACAGGCAAAGAAGGGAGTTACCATACTGGCTGGTGTGATTAATCCTGATTACCAAGAGGAAATCGCATTGATATTACATCCATAACCCATTGCCATTGAGTCGATTCTGACCCATAGTGACCCTGTAGGACAGAGTAGAACCACCCCATAGGGTTTCCAGGGAGCGACTGGTGGATTTGAACTGCCAACCTTTTGGTTAGCAGCCATATTACTTAACTGCTGTGGCACCAGAGTATGTCTGGAATGCAGGAGATCCCTTAGGATGTCTCTTAGTACTACCATGCCCTGTGATTAAAGTCAATGGAAAATTACAGCAACTCATTTCCAACATGACTACTAATGGCCCAGACCCTAGAGGAATGAAGGTTTGGGTCACCCACACCAGGCAAAGAACCATGACCAGCTGAGGTGCTTGCTGAGGGCAAAGGAAATACAGAATGGGTGGTGGAAGAAGGTAGTTCTAAATACCAGTTATGGCCATGTGACCAGTTGCAGAAATGAGGACTGTAATTGTTATGAGTATTTCTACTTTGTATGTGTGCATCAAATATTTTTGTTTTCTTTACTTATAAAATATAAGATGTAAACAGGGCTAGTGCATTTTGGGTTGTATGTGTGTTTGTTTTATCATGTTAGGTGCAAGTATGACTTTATGATTGTCTTTATTCAGAGATTATGTATGGTTTAAGGAAATGTGTACAGGTGCCAAGTTGACAAGGGGTGGACTGTGATGGTTAAGATTGTGTGTCAACTTGGCTGGGCCACGATTCTCAGTGTTTTAGCAGTCAGATAATGTTGTGATCACTTCCCTGCTGAGATTTGATATGTGATCACCACCATGATGGGATCTGCTTTGAGTAGCCAGTCAGTTGAAAGGAAGTTTCCTTGGACGTGTGGCCTGCATCCGAATATAAGTGGACATTGTAGCTTTTGCCTGCTCTGGATCCTGCAGCTGGCTCCTGTTCGTCTGACCTGCAGTTCTTGGGACTTGAGCTAGCAGCTTACCTTCAGTCTTGCCTGCCAATCTTGGGATTCATCGATCTTCACCGCCCGTGAGCAAGAGCCCTGCTTTCCGACCTGCTGATCTTGGGTTCACCAGCCCCTGCAGGTACATGAATCAGGAGAAGCCTCTATCCTGATCCACGGACTTGGGATGTTCCAGCCTCTACAACCACGTGAGCTATTTCCTTAATATAAATTTCTCTCTCTATATATATGTTTATACGCTTTACTGGTTTTGCTTCTCTAGAGAACCCAGCCTAAGACACTGGGTTATACAGTGTTTCTCTGTTCAACTTTTTGAGGAACGACCGAACTGTTTCTCACAGTAGCTGTACCATTTTACATACCCACCAGCAGTGGATGAGGGTTCCAGTTTCTCCACAACCTCATCACAACCTGTTGTTTTTCGTTTTTGTTTTTGTTTTTTTATCCTGGTCATTCTTACGGTGATAAGGTGGTATCTTGTAGTTTTGATTTGCATCTCCCAAGTGGCTAATGATGTTGATAGTCTTTTGACGTGCTTGTTGGTCGTTTGAATATCCTCTTTGGTGAAATGTCTGTTCAAATCCTCTGCCTATTTTTTTATTTGGTTGATTGTTTCCTCTTGATTAGATTCAGTTAAAACGTTTCTGGTAGTGTCTGACCACATTTGCTTTATCAGTTTTTCCTTTGATTCTCCTCATTATTAGTACATGTGTTTTTATTTAATTTTTCTGAACCTTTTAAGGGTAAGTTACATACATTGTGACCCGTTATTCCTAAATACTTCAGTGTGTATTTCCAAGAATAAGGATGGCTTTCTATTCTTTAGGTATACTTTCGTGTCCTTTAAGGGTGCTTTGTAGTTTTTTTCATTTAGGTTTTAATTGCTTTTAAAGTTTATTCATAAATATTTAATCTTTTTATTTTTTTGGTGTTGTAAATGAGGTTTTCTCATCTGTTATATCTTCTAAATGGTTATTATCTGTTTACGAACGCTATTGATTTTGGCACGTTAATTTTATACCCAGCTACCTTGATGAATTCTTTTATTGTTTGAGTTAG